AAAAAAAAAAAAAGTCTGCAAAAAAAAAACACGTAAACTCTACCCAATACAACATGGCAGTATGATGGTGTGGGCAAGGCGAACATATAACAGAATATTCAAATGACATTAAAACCTGGAGATATGCCCCACACAACGAGGCCACGGTATCTGCTGCAGACTCCCTGACCCTGCGACAGGCTCAGCGCCCACCAGCCACGCTCACTACGCCGTTCGCCAAACATAATTATTGCCTCGTGTTAGCCATTTAGACAGAGAGGAGAAAGACAAAACTTCTTTTTTCTTCTTCTATATATTAACAGAGAAGCACAGTAAGGGTGCGGGGGGGGCCGGGATGGCGCCGATTTCCACCATCCGAGCCCTACCAGAGAATGGCAATTGTAATCATCAGAATATTGCAGAGCGAGAAAAAGTTCCCCAACAGTCAAATGTTTGTCCCTGAAGAAGGTTAGACCTTAAAAACCTGCTTCCAAAAAGAAACAAAATAAAAAAAATAAAATTTTAAAAAAAAACAGGGGGGGTTGGATGAAGTCCAGGCCCTCGGCCTTCCAATTTAGAGGCGGTGCCTTTTTTCTCTATTTTCTATATTTATATGAAAATAATTCATGCTCCATGCTAAATACATTATTTTTTTTTCTTCATTTACAAGAAACCGATGCTGAATTAGAAACAAAAAAAATAAATAAAAGACCCAAAAAATTTTTGTGTTTCGTTTTGAACCCATACACCGCTCCAAGTGAATATTATATGGTGACCTTTTGTTGTTGTTGTTTGTTTGTTTTATCCGTGTGTTTAGATGCATAAAACTTGTGGCGTGTTATGAAGCGCTGTGAATTTGTTTTCATTTTTTTCCCCCCCATTTTGGGAGAGACGTGCTCGGTGAAGTTGGCCGATTGATCCGTTTCAAAATGGCAGATGAAGAACCCAAGCGTTTCCCGAAATAAAAACCCGAAGGAAGGGAGTTATCCGTCGCCCACTTTAGCCATTCCGGGATTGAACCGCCGACTTCCGGGTTACAAAAACGGAAGAACTGTAGCGGATTGACGACAGCGTGGGCTCCCCTTCCCACCGCCGGCGCGCTCCTCGGGGTGCAGGCCCATCGGCAGGAGATTCATGGCACGGGCTTTTCTTTTGCGTCACGGTGACTCTCCGGGTTCGTCGTACAACCGCTTGCCACCAAAATGCGGGTTGTAAATTGCACAAGCGAACGTTGAGGAAAGGTCGGGGGTCGGGGAGGGTAACGGAAACCTCCCGAAACTCTTTTTTTTTGCAGGTAGGTGGCACCAATATCCGTCCCAGGATCATCCCAATGTCGTCTCAACATCTTGATGGAAAGAGTTGCAAAGTCAGAGGGCGATTTTGGCTTTTTTTGAAATATAGATATATATTTTTTTTATGTCAGCAAATATAGTTCACCTGACGTGCGTAAAAGACACAGTTCCGAGTTCAAACAAATCAAAAAGATTTGCTCTAATTTTTTGCGGTTTCTTTGTCCTTTTGCTCCTTCTGCCCCTTTGCCGTCCGATTGGTGATGTTATTCAAACACGATCGGATCCCCGCTAAGTGCAGAAGGGAACCCGCCGCCTCTTTCATCTCCTCGTCGTCGCTTTCCGGCGGCTTTTCCGTGCGTCTCTTTTTCAGCGGCAGGGCGTCGCTGGGGATACGCCGCACTTTCAGCAAGTGCTGCTTTTTCTTGTGTTGCGAGGAGTAGCCGCTGTCGGATAACGTTTCCCTGGCTTCCTTCTTGGCCTGTTTCTTGTCGTCCTCCTCCGTCTCGCTGTGGCTCTCGTGGCTCTGCAGGCTGACGTCGCTGCCGTCGCGGCAGACCTTGGCCGTGAACTCGAAGTGGTCGTCGGCGGAGGAAGAGGACACGGAGTCGCTGGCGGACGACGAGCTCCGCTTGCTGGCGGACTTGGCACTGCTGTAGTTGTGGTCCTCCTTGGGGGCGCTGCTGACTAACGGGGGGCCGCAAGCCG